TTTTTTTTTTTTTTTTTTTTTTTATCATGGTTTTTCTGTATGCTCGATCTCGGTGTTACCGCGGAGCAGCGTGAAGTGCTGGTCCAGTGATCACACAGATTCTTTTTTCTTGCCACATTTTCTACATACAGACACATTTTTTCTTCTCTTCTCTTTTTTTTTCTTTTGCACTTCACACACACACACACACATATATATATATATATAAAATATAATAATAATTTTTAATATATTATTATATAATATTTTAATATATTATTATATAATATAATAATAATTTTAACGAGTGAAATTTTATGGAACCATTTATGGAAACGGCACGAAACGCACACAATGATCGTTTTTATTGCTCCAAAGTATAAAAGTCCACGGGCATAGAAATGACTGGTTTGCATGTCGTGGTTTTGTGGAGGGACGTGCATACAAGTACCTGTAATATCCTTCGTTACCTATTCGTCGAAGATTACGTAACGGGTCGAGTTATCTTCTTTTTTTCTTTTTTTTTTTCTTCCTTAACGGGTAATTACGTTCACATTTCGTCTTTTTTTTTCTCTCTCTCTCTCTCTTCCCTTTCCAAAACTTCGTTCTCCCATTCCATGAATTCTCGCATTCCTTTCCACCGCGTAGTGCCCAATAATACACCTCGTAACACTCCTACAATTCTCGCACAATGCCTCTCTCTGTTTTGTCAGGAAACGGTAGCGTATTACATAGAACTGAGTAGTACCTTTGGGTATACACCTAGTCCTGTTTCGTCGTTACAATTGCGGTGTGAAATGTGCACGACTTTGGACTTTGGAGTACTTTTGTAAGCTGATTCGCACGCATTCGTGTAAACGAATGGAGATCCTTTTTTTTTTTTTTTTTTTTTTTTTCTGTCAAACAGAAAGTTCGTCGAACATCAGCACACGGTATATCTGAAACTGTTAGAGAGATGATAAGCTCGTACTTTGGTACTCGGATCGTGCACATTTTGCATTCCAATCTTACTGATGTAAGTCGAGAATCGTCTGCCGATATTATACGCATATATCGGGATCACGCTTCCTGATTCGGCTTCTACATAGCATTAATGGAACATCATAGAAACTAGATTTCAACGTGACAATTTCAACGGACTAACTTGGTTTTATTTTTTACTATTGTTCCTGCGGACTTAGGGATATAGAAATGGTATAATTTACAGACGAGGGGTGTGACATTTAATTTGGTAAAGGGGAAGTCAATTGTGCCTGAATTTAATTGATTATATTTCTGTTTAAATTATACTATTTATAATTTAATTCGTTAAAATCCTGTAGATTTAAATAGGCTATTGTTTTTAAATAAAAAATGTAGTTTTTCGATCGTTGAACAATAATTATGACAAATGTTAATTGATAACATAAGAAATGTTCTCTAATAAAAATTAGGCACAATTAGATTCCTAATTTCCGTGTATATTCTTACAATTAGATCCATAGCTGGTTCAGCCGACTCGTTAGATTTATGCAGCCTACATTTCGCCTTGTCACTATGAAAAGGCGAAACCTCGGTGTGTTTTTAAAAAACGCGAACAATCAAGAAATGTATCTGCCGGGAGTGTCGAGAAATTTTCAAGCTTTTTTGTTTTTTACACAAGCTTAAATCTCTGTTGTAATAATGTTGGACTAGTACTACTATTGTAATAATGTACTATTGTAATAATGTTGGACCTAGGATTTGGTCTCTCGCAGAAATGTGCATCATTCGCCAATCCCTTGTAATTGAATTCAAGAATTTCTCGATGCGCTCGACACTCGCAGAGATTCTTTCACTCTCGATTTACTGGTTTATTACATTTACAACTTTCAATAACTGCGGCTGTAACGGTGTATGTGTAATACGCCTTTTCGTAAGAACGAGATCTGCGTGCATTCGAATGGACAATATTATGACATCAATAGACCAAAAGCGAATCAAACATCTTTCTATATGAATATCCACTTTACCGATGTATATAACACGGAGCCAGGATCGGAGGGTTAAGTTCAGTAGTAGCAACTTAAATTTAATTTGGTCGCTCAGATTCTCAATTTGTCTTTGGACATAGTAATTTCTTTTCTACCTAATGTAAAGAATGATTAACGAAGGAGCAATCATTCATTCTTCTGTATCATAAAATCGCTTAATACTATTGATGCGTAATGTCGTCCAGTTGTGTATTAGCTGCCATTAGCTTTCGCTGGGCATTCACGCGAGCCATATTATACACGTTATCCGGGGTACCCAAAGGGAGAGTAAGATTAGAGGGAGAATGGAGAGGGATCGAAAGGAGAAGAGATAAAAGTACGAGTGTGAAGGGAACGTAGCATTTTTCGTTTTAGATTATTATTACTATTACTACTACTATTATTATTATTATTATTGTTATTATTATTATTACTATTATTATTATTACTACTATTATTAATATTACAATTATTATTATTACTACTACTACTACTTATTATTATTATTATTATTATTATT